TTCATCCATTTTCTGGCTCCCTGAAGAAGACCACTCTCACAGACGCAGGTGATATTGACGTTTGTGCTTGACATTTCTCCTATCACTGGCAGAGATGAGAGCATAAAAGGCCGGTGGGATGCATTTATAAAACTCCACTGATGTCGGGAGTGCCAGGGTGAAAGGCCAAGCGAAGATATTCAGGTTGTGGGGAAATGAAGTTGAGTCGAGCTCCAGCCATGCTCTACAAGCACTGTAATCTGCAGGCCAGTCAAACAAGCCCACGCTAGAAGACCGTAGCTTGGAAGGTGGGTCTGGCTGGCTCTTTCACATGCTGCAGTGCACCATCTCAAATTCAATCTGATCATTAAACACCCAAATGGACTTGAACGAATGCAAATGAGCAATGGAGGGAAGCCAACAACTTTTCCAGAAACAGATTAAGCCAGACACCTGTAGTGGAGGATCACTGTGTTTGTATGGACTGCTATTCATTGCATTTGACATATTATTTACTGTGATAAATAATGATACATCTGACCACCAACTACACATGACTTTGAGCTACTATTTTGATGTTGCTAAAACTAAAAATAATAATATGGTTATATTTCTAATCCATATGTAGAAGGTTGCACATATTGAAGTTGATGGGTGAATGGTTAAGTTGTAGTTGACATCTACCAGCTTCAATACTGGACGAAGATGAGTTCCTCCAGGAAAAGTCCAGCACATACACCCCCATAAAACCACAAACGGTGCCATTTATTCTCTGTTTTTTGTGTGGATTAAACAAAAAAGATTTAGTGTGTTAATTTCTGAGCTTAGATAAAGTTTAGCCATGCTCAACAGCTGCTGACGATCACAGACAGATATTAGAGTGGTATAGGTCTTATCATCAAACTCTGAGCAAGAACGCGAATAATCATATTTTCCAGCTGCTAAAATGTCAAACTATTCCATTAAATTGAAAAAGTAATCTGGGCAAAGAGGGTCAAGCAGCTGAGGCCTACTTGAAGCATTCAGGAGTGCTAAAAACATTTTAAAACAAGGTCATTTAAAATTATTTTTGATGTATGTTGCTTCTAATTCATCAGTCCTGAGCTAAAATAAAATGTGCCTTACAAATGGCAGCATGGTAGTGCTATCCACACCAAAATTCTCTATATAAAGAATGTTTGATGAACATGAAATTAGTTCCCCTGTCAGGCCTAACCAAATTTCACTGAATCTGTGACACGTTTTTAAAATACCTTGCTAGCAAACAAACACACATCCCATATAGGATCAAAAACATAAAGCTCTTGGCATTGATACCAATGGTTTTCCACCTCCAGCATTAATCCTTTGAAATGCTGAGCCAGGTCTTGTAAAACGATGCAGGGAATGGATGTAGCGAAAAAAGCACAAAGGAAATCTGTCGACCCAGATGCCTCTATTGGCTGCACAACAACTGTCTGGGCTTCTGATCCAAAATTCTATAGATAGATACGCAAGCTGGCTCGTAGGATCACTGAGTTAAAGGGACCCCGAGCCATGAGGGGAGCCAAAGTTAGCCTGTAACAGCAGTTTCCCAGGTGCAGAGACAGATAGTGATGATGACGGGCTGCACTTCACAAAGACTCCGCAGCCTGTCAGCTCCGCACTACTGCTTTTGTTTACACGTGGAGCCCGTCATCACTTTCACTTTTGCGTGTCCTTGAGAGAAGTTAGGTTAGTGCTGAGTAGAGCGATGAGCTGGAAGATGAGGCCTTTAATTAGCTCCAAGGCAGGATGATAATTGATCATCTCCCTCAACTCACTCTACCATGAAGGGCTTGCCACCATTAAAAACAAAACACATCGCAATGCCTTGAAAATTCAAAACCACAAGCAACAATCTGCATTAAAATAAAGCTCTGTATGAAGTTCAACTCCAAACGTACAATCCACTGAATAAATTGGCACCTCTGAGACAATGATTGGCACAAATACCAGCAGAGAATTTTAAACAATGTGAGATGAAATTGGACACCTGTGAAAATGTAGCAGATATATTTTCCAGTATATCATTGTGTATTAAACTTATTTATCTGTCTTGTTTCCCCCATGGAAGCCTGGTGAATAGAAATGGAGCGGGGAAAATTCACTTGATGTTGCTATTGGCATTTCAGGCATTAGGTAAGCAGTGATATAATTAGCATTCATGAGTCAAGTAATTAAAACATCAATGTAACCAAGCAGTGCTGTTAAGACACTTGTGTGCTCTTTGCACAGTATCCAACAGTCAGCGTTTAGTCTGTGCGGTTAGAAAGGAGACAGTTTATGTGAAGCCAGCGACTCCATTTACTACCATCAAACTGATGAGCATGTATGTGTGTGCTCCAAGCCAGAAACACAGTTTTTCTTTTTTTCACCATCGCTGTCTCTCTTAGTTTGTGAAAAAATTAACCTAAACATAGTGTGAATTCAATACACTTTCTAAATTTCAGCTCTAGTCTGAAGGGAGGGTATGTAAAAGCAACTGCAAACAGCGTGTCTTCCCACAGAAACAAGTGTCTATATAATGGGACTTTTAAATTTGTCACCTGGAGAGTCCTTCAAACAAGGATTTACAAATAATTATCATGGCCAGCCACACATAGCTTCCAGACACACTGTAATCCTCACAAAAATGTAACCACAAAGCCTCACAACACTCTTTGAAGCAACTGTGTAGTGAGTGAAGGTCTTTTCTGCAAATTATTCATCCGCTATTAAAACAATTATACACATAATGAAGCATGCTTGGGTAAATGTTTTCTGCCATTTTTAATATTTGAGAGATACTTAACATTGAAACAAAAATAAATGTAACAAAGACTGCAAGGCGACATTTGTTTTTTGGAGGTATTTCTGCTGCAACCTTCACTTCCCTCCCGAGGCTATCAGGTGACTGACAGTGGTAAGCCATGCAGTGAAAGTGCTCAACTCAGCACAATGTAATAAGTCTAAAACTTTTACAAAACCAAATTAAGGCTTAATGATTATTATGATGGATTATACAGCAGACAATTTCCTAGGCTGTGGAGGCTTTTTTTAATACTCTGCAAGATAGATGGAAACAAACTCTGAGGGTGGCACAACAGTCCCAGATATCTCCAGTTTGCTGAGGGTGTACAGACAGCACAAAGAGAAGGGACAACCCGCATGACAGGTACAAAAAACCCCTGATATTATCTGTTTTACATCACACTTCCCTCTACGCTACTATTTCACTTCATTTAACCTTCAGCACCCGACAAGAAACCCGAAAACCCTTCGCGCAACATGTTGCTTAAGCCCACCAGCTGTCAGTACTCATTTAGCTCATCCATAACATCATTCATACTGGTAGGTGTGAGGTATTTAAACCATACTATATAATCATCTGCCTGTCTGTTAAGCCATATGTGCAGATGAGGAGGGGCAGTGGCAACTGTATTCCTGACTGGGGGAAATCCAAATAAGCCTCAATTAACATGAGACAACTCTAATCTGTTTAATCAGCTTGAACAGCTGCAGTGGCTGGGTGAAAATTGTAAATTCTGGTTTCCTGCTTGTTTTGCTGATAACACATAGCCGTATGATTATTAAACCTGCATACTAAGTCTGTGAGGGCTGCTGAAACCAGTGGCTGACGATTTGGGAAAACAAACATTGGCCCAGAAGATATTTTGATGAGCTTCACATGGTTCCTGATGTCTGCGCTGAGGGCATGTGGGAAATATAGGCGACAGGTAACAGTTGGGTTTTGTGTGATCAAAACTGGGGCGATAGAAGCGCAGTCTTCCTTCACGCAACACTCTTGTGATAGGTCGCAGACACTGTGGAATATAAATAAAAGTGAGAGACCAAAACCAACTGTGAACTCGCCACATGTCACAAGACAGGTGCGAAGGCAAACACAGGAGAGGGTGGAGGAAGTAGCTGGACGACCACAAAAATGTTAGTGACTGAGACGTGATCTGAGGAGGAAACAGTGGTGCACAGTGTGTATTTTCACAAGGCGGTGCTTTCTCCTCTGTACATGAGCTACGCAGACACTGAAACATTCCTCAGCGGGATCACACTCATCACACGGTATGTCCTTAACCTCAGTGACACTGAACATCTCAGGTTTCTCCAAATGAGCCCGGTGTGTATGAATTCCTGAGAGGCCTGACATGTCAGTGTGCTCCAAGGCACAGCCAGCCTGCTTTCTCCCTGCCTGTCTCCACATTCATTTTGTGCTGATGAGTGTGCAACCAGCTCTCTGCATTACCCACAACCTCAGAAAGTAAAAAAAAGGAGCAAGGCTTCCTGCTCAGACAACAGTGCCAAGAGAGGCTCAAATTAGAGCCATCTATCCATAAACCCATCACTAGTAACCCCCCCCCCCCCAAGGCAACAGGCATCGCTGCAAAAACAACATTCACGAAATTGATCTGTCTAGTTAAATAAGATTAGATTCAAGTTAAATTAGAGGTGCTGTGAGTAAGTCTGGATCGCATTGTTGCTTGGGAATAAGCTGCAGATACAGATTGGCACAGCACACACATCTCAGCCAGCAGGCAGAGCAGAGTTTGCCCGCACTTCACAGCAAGTTCGCTTTCACAAAGTGAGCAAAAGTTCACAATTTTTCACGATTAAAGCATGTCTGCTGTGAGACTGAGCTGTGTGTCAACACAGTACAGAGACTGCTGCCTCTACAACACTCCCTGTAGTGCAGGTTAGTTATTAGGAGGAGGTGGATGTCGCAACTCGTGTGGACAGACTTGCAGTTGTGATAACAAGTTCTGCCGGTTGTAACGATTCATTCCTTACAGGAGTAGATCAAGTGCTCCATTAACAGAGCTTAGTTAATTTTAGGGAAAAATATGAAAAGGAAGTGTATTTATATGATTTCATTTTGAGAAAACTAGGTTCAAGTATAGATTCACTGACAGAAATAGCCTCTTTTCGCTTCTTCAGGGTTGTATAAAGTAAAGTTCAGCCTGTAGGAGAGCAAAGAGTTGTTAATGTCTGGGCTAAACTTCACCCACCTTCTCCTTGTTGTCGTGGTCCGAGGGGGGTGAAGTGGGAGATTTAACACTCCCTACAGCAACAGCCTGGGTGACGGTGACACCGCCGCCCGGAGCCGGGCTGCTCTTTTCGATTGTTTCCACCTTGATAAGTCGGTGTTTTGGTGACACATACTTGATATCCGGCGACCCCACAGTGTTCAAGCTGCCCGAGCCAAATGCAATATTTCCACTTGGAGTGTACGGGTCCTCGAAGTCCAGCTCCTTTTGTAGTTTGTAAGCAGCGAGGATGTCCGGTTGAGCCGGGCTCGGGAAGGTAGCCCCGGAGCTTGTTTGCTGGAAGCCAGGCGCACCGGGCACACCGGTGTGACAGTGTCTGTAGTCCGGCTTCGGAGGCGCCGGAGGGGGTGCTTTGGTAGTTTTGAATCCTAGGTGCTCCTTGAACCACTTGGCCATGCTGCCAGTGCATCGCTCTCAAGTCAATGTAATGTAGTTTAGTTCCACCTTTCCTGCCAGCGGAGCCCCGAGTCTTGTTCGTCAAAGTGGGATCCTCGGGTCACCCGCGGCCAGCTGACCGGCTTCGGAGCGTGTCGCCAGTCTCGTGCGACTCTGTCGGTCCGGAGAGGAGCGCGCGAGCAGGGGGGGGGGAGCGCGGCCACAGGCACTTTCTGATCTGCCCTGCCGCAACTCTGTCACTCACCGCTCGGCTGCTCTCCACGTCAGGTTTCCAGACTACGCAACATGGGAGCGCTTGTGCAAGAGGAACACACGCCCCCCACAACCTGCCCTCCCTACCTGAGAACATTCACTGCCACCTACCGGACTCCTGAAACCCCGCTGACTGTGGACTACCCAGACTATCAGTCACCACTGCGTGATGTGGCTCCAGTTGAAAACACACACACACACACACACACACACACACATACACACAGAAGCACCGAGCCCCATCTGAGGAGCGTCTTGTCTCAGGGATCCCCGGATGAGGACTCTGTGGTAGTGCAGAATGATGTAATATATGGGCTGCTGGAGATGATGTGATGCCTGTAGTAGAAGAATAAAAATAATTACAAGTTTTGCTCTAACATCCTGTCATTTTGCAAGTTTCCTAGCTCCATGTTGGTCCCTAACCCAGCACTACAGGGTCATTTAAATCCTCTGGTATAGATCATTGTGTGGTTTATGTTACATTTACACAAAAAATGATTCCTTACAAAGGATTAATGCTAAGAAACGGTTGTGTAAATGTATTTCCCATTCCTCTCCTACAATATGTTTCTAGAAATGTGCACTTTGAAAAAGTAATACAATACAACTGTTTGCTTAAAAGCCCTCAGGTCAACATGTGTCCCACCAATGGCACTCAAGGGTAAAGTGTCCTATGTATTCTCAGTGCTCTCATGTCCAGATGGCCACTGCAGACTGTTTTAATTGCAAATTGCATTGCAAATGACCAGTGGAGAGAGACGCTGGGGCCTATATTAACTCTGGGCACTGTTCTAGCTAAGTTCATTACACCGATCCATGAGCAGAGGAGGTGAATTGTTCAAAGCAACAATACGAGTAAACAGCTCTCTCCAAGGTGTCTTTCAGTCTCTTTGACGCAAAGGGTCAGAGGTTCACGTGCTTCACTCTAATTGCCTTTGCAATCAAAGGACAGATGAAAAAAAAAAAAATTCCCATTTCCCCTCCCAGAGACATACTCCAGCAACAGTCTGCATTAACAGGAGTCATGGCTGCAGCGCAGTGGGTTTTTATGAAGCAATATTTCTTTTTAATAACACCACACACACACACAGCCTTGAGCGAGTCACAGTGTACAGATCAGAGTTTAACCCTGGCAGGCCCCTGGGAGAGACAACTCCATGCTCCAGAGATCAAAACGAAATCTATTATTTCTGTCCTGAAATTCTGCCATCGCTGCACTTTGGGCGTGCAGAGAGAAATTTGACCAGTGCAATTTCCCTGCACTTTATAGGAATAATTTCACCCCACAGCCAGGACATTAATCTGTTTAACTAGTGCATTATACATAAAAGCTTTAAAAGAAAAAACAACCAAAATTGGTTCAGATGGCCTCTAGTTTATTGCAGCACTGGTCGGTTTTTGTTTCCAGCTCTGGGAAAACAATCTCTGAGAGCAAAAAGAGAAAGGCTTGTTCCAGCTCATACATTACATGGTATATTTTAGGGCTGTAGCTGCAGTATGTTTAGTGTAGGTGTAACCTCAGTGCTGCATTTACACATACACAGCGTGTGATATGAACGTTGTCTTTGCTGCTGACTAATTGCCTGTCTCACATTGTAGGTATCTGTGGTGGGCAGGCACAGGTGTGTCATCTAGGTTGCCGAGCTTACACATCACAGATCATTTATTGCATTGCTACAGTTGCATTCACCAATTTCCTCCAGCTGCCATCGCTGACACCCTTTAAAATGCAAATCCTGTAATCCAGCACCTCACAGGATACAAATAGTCCCTTAAGTAGCCTACGCAGGCAGATTGCTTGCCAAGAGGAATTTATGTAGAAATGTATAGGATTCTGCTTAAGTTATCATACTTACAATGACGTGAGAGGTGCTGATAGTGTGTTTGGACAAATTGTCAATACCTCTCACAAGATAAAAAGCTGCTGGAAAACAGTTAGCAATGACAGGTGGTGATGGCTGGCTTGACAGAAGATTGTCAGTTTAAGATGTCCACCTTTTGACTTTGGTATTTAATGTAAAGAGTCATCAGTTACTGCACAGTCCTTTGACACCTTGAACTTGACTGGCTAGTCTGTAGTATTTCCATACAACTTGTTACCTGCTCCAAGCTGCATGGCTTCATAAACTACAAACATCTAACAGGTTGCAGAATCTGGACAAACTTTCCTTCCATATGTTTGTCAGTGATAGGGATGTTGGCATGTATATAGAAAAAGCAAGACATTTTCAGACAAGTTGACAGCTCAGGTTTGCTATAGGCGAACGTTAATGTCTTTACCGCACAGCTCAAACGTTTGACACGCTTTATAAGTCTGGTGGCTGCGGGGTTTCGCAGGCGTTGCTGGAAATGATTCCACAGCACAAGCAGGTAGTGCTGTAAGGGCTAAGAGATGAGAAACAATTTATCAGAGTAGATCAACCCTATGTTTTAGGGCAACTTTACTGATATAAACTACTCCCAGCTAGAATATGACCTACATTCTTCTTCTCAGTCCTCTTCTAAAGGATCCATTTCTATTTTAATCCTCTGTTTTGTGCTACATGTAATATTACTCGTGCGCTGGTCAGTTTTGCCATACCACAATGTGAACAGTTATTACATGCTCTGAGCTCACAGAGTCTTCATTATTGTAAAGCCTTGTTCTCTTGCCTCAGCAGTTCAGCAATAACTGTGCGCTACTTTGTGCAGAACGCTTCTGAATGTCAAAATGCTTAAGCAAAACAGTATTCATGTGCTGTAGTACTGCATTTGCTACCATGCCAGGCTGGTGAAAGTGCCAAGTGGAAATATACACGGCTTTCTTTGGAACATGACGGATGGACCATCACACTTCTGACTGTGTAGACTTTAACTGCGTCAAAGGAAGCATCTGGAAATAAATTACAGTGTGTGTGGAAAAGAAATGATGTGCAAACAACTAAAGCACTTTTTTATAAATGTGTATGTTTATGTTCATTTCCTAGAGGTACCTCGATTGTAACGCAATGATTCACTGTCAAGAAAATGGTTTAAAATGGGACTTTGAAATAAATTTGGTTGCAAAGAGTCTCAATTTACACAAGTGTTTATGTAAACACAATGGCTCCAGATCATCCTTTTTAAATGGATCTCTCAAACTACATGCCAGTTTTGTCATGCTGCATTTTGCTCTAGCATCTGAGGCCGATGTAGGTTGGCCCTAACCTAAAATAAATAGAGCAAATAAAACATAGGAAAAAAATGCAACCAGGTAAACATTGTGGTCGAGGCAAGTGATCTCTATATCTGAATTACTCTCTCTGTCTTCTTCTCTTCCTTTTTTTCCTTAATGCTCTGACTCTGAAGTCTTGTAAGTCATCCAAATGTGGTCTGAAACTGTGCTCTTTCTTATACATAAATTATTTACCCAAACATTTATACCTTGTCTAGTAAACACACAGTGTATCTACACTCCAGTAGTCTCCATGGAAACATGCTTAAGTGATTTAACCAGCTGCTGGACATTCAAAGTCAAAGCCACTAAAGATGTGTGCTTTGCATCAGCTGCTTTTTTCCCCACTTTTTCATTCAAGCAGGTGTTTTTTTTTTTTAAATTTTTTATTTGGGTCTCCAGACTGGAACATCTGCGAAACTGTAACCATCTCCTGTCTGTCAACAACTGTATCACCAAGGTCTTTAAGCAAGGAAATCAATATCTAATTGCTCAAGTAGACAGCTGAAGACTCTGGTTGCACTGTGAAGCTCCCACTGTGAGCTGACGGTGGGGAATAGTATGAACACAAGGTGAGAGCAGTGCTGATAAACAGGAAGCGCGCTTAACAAAACTTCCTGAGTTAATGAAGGCTGAATGAAGAATAATTTCCCATCCGTTTGTCCCACATCGCTTCAAATTAGTAGTGACTCAGTCAGGACATATAGAAAAGATGGGACATATCTAAATCTCTTAACCTTTTGGCAGCCATGTATCTTACCTGTCATGGCACATATTGATCATCACAAAGATGTCTCTTAGTGCCATGTTAGTTCCAGTTGAAGAAACACCAAGGCCACTAACCTTATGTTAGCTTTTATCGTCAAGCACACCCACATCCAATCTAATGTCTGATGACTTAAAACCCCTCATTAACCCTTTCCTCTATGTGTTATCTCACACTCCACCTTCACCTTCTGACTTGGGTATTTAAAAGATTAATGGATCTTTAAGCATTTACTTTGAGCAGCCGGTCACTTTATTTCACTAAAGAAGTGTGCATGACAAATCACACGTGCATCACCCAAGCAAACACAGGAAGTCCATTAAGAATTTATACACACAGTATCAACACATACAGGTTTGAGCACTGTGAGATATTTTGCCTGCTGTTCCCCAGCAAAGTCATGTTACCCTATGGGGTTCTATCCCTTGTGTATGAGCCTGTGTGTGGAACACTCCTCCCCATTTCTTAAGTCTGACTGCGCAGCTTTGTTTGCTTTCCCATACCTGTCAATCAAAGTGCAGTGCTGGGATCTTAAAAGCTAGCTCCTTTAGCTTCTCATCCAGGATATGTGCTGCTGTCACCTTTGGTTGTTCCAGAAAGCCTCGCCACTGCAGAGATGAAATGAAGTATTAATGGGCGCCTCTGCCGTGAAGGAGGACAAGGACAGATTACTAATCTGATTTATGTGTGTGGTCTCCCCATCTGCCTGGATGCAGGTGTGCATAGATATGAGCTAAACGTACATTCACTGTTTTATTACAGACTTTGATGGCGACAGCAGAAACAGGTGCAGTATATTGCAGTGTGGTGAAGCCTGACCTCTGTCTAGTGGAGCTCTATATGTGTCTTCTCCCTGAAGTGGTAGTCCTATTTGGCCAAGGAATTCATTAAACGGCACTACTCGTGTGCTTGTCCCTCGCTGAGAGTCAGTGACGGCAGCATTTAGATACATGACTCAATATTATAATGTAAAATTGTCAACTGAAAGGCTTGCATTAGAAACATTTGTCTAAGTGGTAGCGTAAAATGTAGTTAAAGAAACAGTGGGTAGCACTCAAGGCATCTAGTGTTGAGGACTGTAGATTGCAACCAGCAGAAGCTTCTCCCATGTGCTAAGTGGGAACTCCTGGGTAGGATTCCTTTAGTATTAATTGTTCAGGAGGTTTTAACCAGGAGATGAATGATTTGCAGAAGTCTCTTTGTCTCCAAAACAAATGGAACTGAGGCCTGTACTATGA